ACGCACACATTAACATATATTAAATCATCTCTCTCTCTCTCTCTCTCTCTCTCTCTCTCTCAGAGAGCAACAAGAGCACAAAAGAGGAATCGATGAGGCCAGGAAGATAGATGTTATTAGATGGAGTGAGCACAGAATCCATCAATTACACTGCAGTATTAAACAGCAATACAATTGTAATACTGTCACAGGCCATAAGAACAGCACCCTAGACTAGTTTACTAACACTCAATAGTAATATTACTTACACAATACAGTATGTTTCTGATGTGTACTGGTGGGTGTCTGTCTACTTTGTACCAGAATAAATCTCAAACAATGTGTGGTATTATATTACTTTCCCCAGTAACTAGCAGTGGAACTAATTACAACTAAAATTCAGTAATAATATTACAGGTACCCCCCAAAAAAATAATAAGTTACAACGTTACTTTGGTTGGAATCCCCTACTGAACAATCCAATCACATCCATGGATTCAGCAGCAGAGTACTCGTGGAGGAAACTAGTTTGGAAGATGGAAATGCTTACATTCAGCAGCTGGAAATATTCCATTGAACAAAACTGGATTTTTGTAAGTCTGAATTTTGTGGAGAAGGGACACAATTACCAATTTTTTATACTGTTGGCAGCGAATAATAAGTACTATTACTTTTTAAAAGAGTAATGAATAATGAGAAAGATATTACATTATTTGAGTAACTAAAATTAGGCCTAAATAGTACACATACTGTTATATTATATCTGCCCAATTACCTGGATAGATAAGTCCAACTTAGACATGAACACCTTCTGTGAGGAGATACTCAACTTCACTTAAACACTACAGATACAAATGTGCACATGAAGACACATTAAACATAAAACTTTTCACATAACATACTCAAATGGATTCAATAGTATAGAAATGCACACACAATAATATTAATGGTGAGCCCACACTCTTAAGAAAAACAAACAAAAAAGTAACAAAGTAAAACCCAAGATGCAGGCCTGATCATAGCTGGTGTGCCTTGTGCCACAAATAAAAAAACATACATTACATACGGTACATACATTTGAACAGTTACTCACCTGCAGGAGTAGGGCGGCTCCTCACTCCCATTAGTGAACAATTTATGGAGAAAGTCTCTCTTCCCTCGTTGCCAGAGGTGCAGCTGGACTAGTTTGGTGGTTGTTAGCTTAGCATTAGCTGAGAACTCACTTTAAACTTCTTCTGAAAACACTGCATTTCACTTATGCATAGCAGTGGTGGCAACTCACTGTGTTTCACAACTTCAGTATTACTCTTGTCAAAGCACATTGACAGAAATAATGTCCACATCTGAACACAAATCTCCCAAGTTTCTCAAAAGCAAACCACTCTCACACCCTTGTTGTTGTTGTTCTCCCGCCCTCAGCCAATCAGGAACTAAGGAAATTGATGTTTCCTCATGACTGACTGAGAGGTAGAATACAACAAACAGCAACATAGGATGTAAAATTAGCATTAGGCTAGGCTGTAGCAGGGCGGCGGCTGCCCCAGGCCAACCTGACTAAACATGCATTTTTGTTGTTTAGTTGAATATTTTGAATAAAGTTTGTTTTTGTGTCTTAATTACAGCAAAATATATAAAGTCAGACTCATACGAGTCTGTCTTCTGCAGCAGAGACAAGCCCTGAGCACTGCTAAGGGGTTCTTGACGGTACACAGTAACCAGCACCAGTGGTGCTCTGTGATGTAGCTAAAAGCAACCGTGATGAAAACATCATTGTTGCAAGTTGTTTCATATTCATTATTTGTGACGACAGGCTGTCGTAGATGCTGGGTATCAGTAAGTCGATGTTTAATGATAAATACATGGCATTGACCATGTTGGTGAAATAGCACACCCTATTACATACAGTGTAATCATTATTTCTGTCCATTCCGCCCTCCCGGCCTATAGGTTGTCTATAATGGCTTTCCCATTAGCACCTTTAAGGGCCCACTACAGGTGCTCGCCCACTCTGCCTGATTCTAGGTTTTAACACCTCACCACATGCAAAGAGTTGTACCTTCTAAATGAATTCCTCATGCTGCATTCACCATCATCAGTAAATGACACTACTCCCCATGTAAATAGTCACAGACAGAAACATTGCATAACTACACACGTAGAAAACATGGAAAATATCAAGGGATTGTATCTATCATTTTACAACATTATATAAGATTGAGAGAGTTTGCAGTTCCTTAATGCTACACACATAGCAAAAGGTAAGTCAAATCATAGAATAACATCTGCTGTGGTGGGCTGGTCCCGTCTGGTTGATGTGGCTGGCCGGATCAACTCAAAAGTCTGCTGCTCTTTAATCCAAACGTTTCCTTTTCAGACTGCTATTCTTGTCATAGGTAATATGTGTTTTAGTAATAAAGCCAAACACAGATTAAAACAAAAACAGTTTGAAGGAGCTAGGCTACTGGCTGCAACATATAAATGTGCAGCCATTGTCGTTTTCAAAATCTCCTCGTCCAGCTGATTTGAAAATTTTTGGTTTAGCCCTTAAAGCCCCAGTCAGACATCATTGAGTGATATTTTGAGCAAAAAAATACTACTACTACAAAAATGTATTAAGTTTAAAGGAGTTACCAGTCGCGGCATATACATGCAAGCTGTTACCATGACAATATCCTAGGATATGTGAACATAATAACCCAGAATGCTGATTGGTGTACTTCTGTTGTTGCATTGGATATTGGCCTGTAGCTTGGATCTAATAGTGTTGCTGTGTTGACTGTCATATTCCCATATGGAATAATGAGCATTGATGACTATTTAGCTCTTATGGGATGCATTTACGATCTGCTTTTGAAGAAGTGTTCAAATAATTGGTTAAGTCTTTGTGTAAAATAACATTTTATGATTTAATACAAATTTGAAAATTGGTTCGAATTTGGTTGGTCTATGCGTATTGCATCCTTTTTACAACTACTACAGGAGAGAGGAGAAGAGAACATGGAGATCGCAAAGGAGATGAGGAGTGCAACAGAGAGACAGATGAGACACCAGAAGAGTATCAGATAGCTCAGTAAGGCACCGTTTAAGAGTTAACACCGTTTGTCATAGTTCAAAAGGAGCCCTTGTCACACAATAGAAGCAGAAGCTATGAGATCAGCATTTGTCCATTTTCAACACTGAGCAAAGAACTGGCAGCATGCAATCTATGACTAATCTCTATAAACAGATACATTATCTGCATATGAACGCAGAATCTGTAGGCAAGGGACAAGATTTTGGTTTTTATGTTTTTCTGAAGCGTTCTGCTTTCTGTTTGTAAGACCAGTAGTACTAATCAGCTGCGGTTGAACAGGCTTTGGTTGCATGCAAGTAAACAGTCTGTGCAGAGAACAAAAGAGGCAGAACACATTGACCAAAATGCAGTCTCGGAACTCATTGGCTACCATCTGACAAAGACTTTGCTTTTTATCAATCTTCGATCCAATTGGATATCATCTGACTGTGACTTAGCATTCATAGGCGAATATCTCTTTATAAAGATCACCATTCTTGTGTCTCAAGTTGCTAATCACACACAGGAGAGGAAGTCTTAGCCCAGATGTACATTATCCGGACATCCACTGGCTACGCCGGAAGCCCTGAAACATTGGCCTGTGCCCTCAGAGACTAGCCAGAGGACTCCGAGATTAACATATGACTGCTTCATCACTGTCAAGGCTCAGAGTTTTGCTCTGCTGCTGAATATAAAAATAATACACAAAGTTGAATGAGATCTGAGATTGTAAGCATTTAGTTTATTGATTTCATGCTGTGAAATGTCCATGCACATGACCTCAAGACTGTCGTAGAGCACAGCAAATCTAGAAAGTATGTATAATGAAATTAACCTTTTTTTTTTTTTTTAAAAATGCTAATCCTTTCCCAAAACAATTCAACACTAGCGTTAGTGTCACTAGTGTTCCAGTGAGTGTTAACAACAGCAGGACAAGTTATGTGGAATTGACACAAAATAAATTACAGTGTCCCTGTTCATCATAACGGGGGAATGTGTCACTCTGTGTGCAATTGTGTGGCTCACTGATGTTTTTTTAATAGCTTTTGGACGACTAGAGGTCTATGGCACAGAGGAATAAGCTATATCAAGCTTCAACGACGTAGGTAGGATCAATTCATCAATAATAGTAATAATACTTTTGGTCTTTTTATGGGATTTGTTGAAAATAAGAAAAAATATCATCAGCTGTATCCTTCAAGTACTGAAGCAACAATGAACTTGTGTTATCTGCCAAAGAAATCATGTACAACAACTTTTTGCAAAAGCAAATACAGTGTTTTTAAATAAATGAACATTTTAATAAGGGTATCTGCAAAAAAACAAACAAAAAAGATATCAACTAAATGTTCACAAACAACCTATCTTGTTGCTTTCCCCACAATATCCACCCATCATAGACTGGGAAAAACATTGCCAGTGAACATAATCCAGGCAGCAATTACATTTCCATTTAAGCACATTAGGCAAAACATTTTATATGAGCTTGTGTTCAGGAGACAGCATTGCTAAATACCAAATATAGATCAAGGACTCAGCACTATAGGCTTTTAAAGAAAGAGAACTGGTTGTACAAACCTTGATGTCCTCAGGATTCATACTGGTTATATGTCAAGTGCTCAACTGGTGATTTATTGATGTGCCCTACAAAGAGCTCTATTGATGCATTAAAGACACACTGTATGAATAATGGACAAAATGTAAAACAAAGCAACAACAGCCTTAATGTTGTTGATTCATTTCCCCCCATCTCCTCTTCCCTTTTTTCCCATTCTTCCCCTATCTGCTTGCCTGTCTGTAGGACTAGATGTACACTAAGTTTATTAACTGTTGCTCACATAATTTCAGACATGGTGAAACATTTTTAACACAACCTCAAATATAACTCTGTGAATAAAACTCTCTCTCTCCTTCTCCCCCTCTCTCTCTTTCT